AGGGGAGGGGGGGGGGGGGTTGTCCGGAAAAAAAATTGTCCGGGAAAAAAATTTTTAGATAGGGGCCCCTAAAAAAAAATTTGCCCCGGGCCCCCTCCAACCTCTCGGCGGCCCTGCATGCATACCTTTATTGTGTCTTAACAGCATTAGACTAAATATCCGTATGGATTCCCGCTCAGCCGTGCCAGTATGTACTGTAGGTCACGTTATGAATCGCTTGAGCGTTGTCAGCGAGCATACGTTTCTCCTGAGATTCGTCCTGAATTTTCAGACACAAAATGGAAAGTTCGGCTGATCGCGAGCTGAAGTTCATTTAATCTATTTATTTAAGATTTTTATGGGGATCTTACCGATTCTGCCATTTTTTAAAATTTTGGAACACGCAACGGAGATACTGTAGAGATACTGTAGGAAAAAATATTAGAGCTGCCGAATATTTTGCCGCAAAAGCTCTAATTAGCATTGACATAGCCTGCGAACAGGCTCACTGGGAGAAAGGTGAGCCTGCACGGAACCATGCGTTTTATTTAATCATCCCCTTTTCGCATCTGCTAAACGCGAACCAATCAGCGTCGACTGCGATAAATAAACTGTCAACTGTCAAATTGACGGAAGGCGTGTACATTGTACAACGAAGAAATACTAATATATGAACAATAATACAAATTATTATACATTGTAGTTGGTAAAAGCAATTTGATTGGCTAAGAGCTTACAGTTAAATCGCGCAATCACGCAACCTACACAAAATTCAGTTATCTGCTAGCAGATAACTCAGTTATCTGCTAGCAGATAACTGAATTTTGTGTAGGTTGCGTGAAATTGAATGAGTGTACATTTCAAATGAGTGTAAATTTCATTTTTCAAATGAATGTACATTTCATAATTGTAATGTTTACTTTAACAAGTAGATATTTTAATACGTTAACATCTTAACGATAATATGTTTCTTTTATATTTGTAATTAATTTAACTGTTGGACTTCCGGAGACTTGTTTATAGAAACGTTTTACTTGAACAGCTTTGCCAGAAATCATATTGAATCATATAGTATTAAAATAGTATGTTTATTATTCTTCAAATGTATAATAAAACAATTATTGAATTCGGTTTTTGCGATATGCAAAATTATCAAGGTCTCGGTAAGCGTTATCAGCCTCGCCTTCGGCTCGGCTGATAACGCTTACCTCGACCTTGATAATTCCGTATATCACAAAAACCTCATCCAATAATTGTTAAGTATTAGCGGGCCGCACAAAATATTACTCGGAAAAATATAGAATTCTTCAAATATTAAATAGATATCAATACACATGCAAATATAAAGCCGCATAAAATACTACCATTGGCATTGAATCAATGTACAGTAATACTTGTACTATGTGCGACTGAAAGAACAATGTTCTGAATAGCCATTACTAAAATATGGTCAGATAGATTGGGATTTGGAATACCGAATACGTCTAAAATTTTACTAACTGTGGCCTAAATAAATGATAAATGAGCATGTATTTATTAATTTCTTCGAAATCACGAGTGCCAACAGTGGAAGCATAGTGGTGGAAGCCGTATCGACGACGAAATTGTCAGCAGTTTATACAATGAGTAAATAGAACAGCGTTTAATGTACGATATATATTTATATCTAAATGACATGCCAGCGAAGATCAACAATATAATTATTCGTACATATTTGGGTATCTTTTGTGTACCTTCGCTTGCTGACTTGCTCACTAATGAGAATAATCCGTGAAGCCACGACGACCTCAAAATGTACTATACTATAGTCTGATGTCAATCCGAAGACGAAGTTCAGAATACTGTTATAGTTTCGTATATTGGATTTAAGCGATAGATTCAAGTCATTTTATATGATAGACTTTTTGCTGTGATGCTTTGCTATTGCTTTTGGTTCCATTTCTAGTTTTATTTGATCGATAGTCTTATAATATATAATATTAAAATGAATAAAGTTCAAATTCTTCAAAATGCTGTTGTTGGCATTTGCTATTTTTAGTAATTTTGTCAACGAGTGTAAGCCAATCAGAAGCCTGCGTTTCTATACGAACGCCACTACCAAGAAAACCTATAGTTCCGTGCAGGCCCTCTATTCTTCGCGCCGCCCGTAACCCAGGGCCTGTTCGCAGGCTAGCATTGACAGCACTTAGCAAACCGAGCCCGACGTGAATTTTACAGGCAAATACGGCGTACTGTAGTTAAATGAAGCGGTCTGTCCACACCTGTAGTTCGAAATTGTTTCGTTTGCTTTGGTTTTGCTTTGGTTTCAATGTTTCGCTGCTTTCCTTTCGGCTGGCGTTGCCAAACTAGGAGTTCTGTAACCTGAAGTTCAGGCCCTAATCACAGAATAGGGCCTGACACAAAACCTATCTAAACCGTGGGATTCCCGTCCATCTGGTGGACGGGAAATCTGATTGGTTGATCAGCATCGTGAAAGATTTTGATTGGTTAGAAGTTCACATAAACAATATTTTGTAAATTGCTAGGTCAATGTGGCAAGGTCAATTGCATGTATCAAATTGCATTGTGATTATCGTAATAGTATTGTCGAATTTTTTCGAATTTCTTTTGTTTAATATGCTTTATGGCAGAAAATAAATCAAACACACAATATTTTGAAAGGGCTTTATCAAAATCTTTGACGAAGTTTGGACACACGACGCTTAAAGAACAGCAAAAGTCGTGCATTCGAAAGCTTGCTGTTGACAGCCAAGGCCCAAGATGCCGTTCTGCCAACTGGCTTCGGTGAAAGTCTTACTTATCAGGTCTTACCGGCGTTGTTTTCTGAGCCATATCGCCTTCGTCATGGTACGATAAAGAATTTCGTTATTGCTGTTGTTATCCCGTTAGAAATTGTATATCCGCGTCCAGCAAGTTGAGACCTTGAGAAAGCTTGGCAGTCAAGCCGTTTGTTTAGATCCCTCGTTTAATGATGAAACAAATGATTTTAGCGTATTTTCTTGACGCTCTTTAATTCCAATTGCGGAAAGTAGATGTAGAGAACAAAACTATTTGCATATATTTTAATATACTGTGAAATAGTACCGTGTTTAAATAAAGTTGAAGTTGAATTCAGTCCTTGAACTGTTGGACAGAACAGACTAAATCTTTGTTTGCTCTGGTTAAAATAAATGGAGAAACTGAACTCTTAAAAGTACCTTGGATTTTTAAGTTTAAAATGCACACTCTGCGGACATGTTCATGAGAATATAACATGAAATTAATGAATATCTTTATATTTTCCCTCTGATATTTTTCGTGCAATGAAATCTATAACACATGACAGTCACAGTGTCAATCTATATATTGTATGATTGTGTCTAAAAATAACATGTGGGCGTCCCACGGTTTAGATAGGTTTTGTGTCAGGCCCTATTTCAAATTAGGGCCTGAACTTCAGGTTAGGAGTTCTGCGGATTTCTGACCTGATCTGATCATCATCAGGTGCGCGTGTCTAGCACTGTTATGAAAATATTCTAACCTCTCAGTGTTACCAGTGTTATATGTCATTGACTGAGAGAGAGGACTGGACTCGAGTTCTTTTTTCGTTTGTAGTGCACCTCGCCTACGGCTTGGTCCACAAACGGAAAAAGAATGAGTATACTGTCCAGACTCGACTGTCCAGGCCGAACAAGCTCAGTCAATAAGTTATTTTTATCAGTAAAATGGTCGATTAATTCATTCAATTATTTTTTCTTTTAGTGAATCTTCCACGGCTTCAGCATTGGTAGCGTAGAAAGAATAAAATGTTAATAAATTTAACAAGAAATTAAACTGTGTTGTTTCATGTTTTGCCCACTAAATATGATGGAAAGCGGATACATTCATCCGCAGAATGAAACTTTTCAACAGTTGGAACAGTCGCGTTAAAGCATTATTAGCTTACAGTACCTTCCTTCGTTTCATGCGACTCGTGCGCTCTGATTTCGGACTGCCAGAAGGTTGATTTGTATCTGCTATTGTGTCGGAGTGTTTTTACTTTTCCACACTTTCAGAACCGTACACAAAACACTCCTCAGTGAAATGCTTTGAGCACACAACCGACGAGCTAGATGGATCTATTTGTGAGTTGTCTCGTTTGCGACTCTGTGTCGAACAAAGTTCGGCCATCGTATCCTTCTCCTGACCGCTACGGGCGAATTATCATTCCAAAAAGGTATTAGGTAGATTTGTCAGCAACGTTAGAACAACCGTAAGCGATCGACACACCGTTTAGGCATTTTAAGGCAAAAACTCTCGAAGTTGCGTCTACTTGTATTGTAGAAAAGCAAATGAACGCGAAGAACGTGTTCCTCCGACTCAGGCTTTTGCAGTGTATTTGACTTGTGCGACTTTTTCAAAAATGGCAAAAATTGAGTTTATGAGCCGTTGTATCTCCGAAAAGTTTAAAACAAAATCTAATCTAGAACTTCTATTGTAACTTTTTACGCTCTGTCTAAATCATCGAAAACTCATTTTGGTGGGTTTATAGGCACTTTAATTTAACTATGCGGTGCACAAGTGTGTACCGTGTGAAATCACTGTTAGATTTAAATGCGCTCGATCTACAGTCGCTGTTGGGCTGCGTATGTTATAAAAAATCTGAAAATAGTGAGCGTTTCGGATGAGAATGCATTAAAATAACCGTGTAGTCTGTTGTATTTAATAAGAATCTGGTTCTGCATTTAAAGTACTTTTGTTGAAAGCTCGTCTTATTGCGTCTGCGTAAGTTAATTAGTTCAGCAAAGCATATAGATCATGGATATCTATGTATTAAACCAGTTTAAAGGGTATTGGCAACAAAAATTGCTTCATCTATCTTATTGCTTTATTTGAAAGAGTATGAAAAAATAAGCCGATTGGCCGTTTAATGCTCTATTCTATCTCATCTAGTTCCGAAGTTATACGCAAAAATGTGAAAATATAAATTGCTGATTCAGCACAACGTGTGACGTCATTAGCTGGGTAAGTATGTTTATTGAATACTACACTGAAGCATAGCTCAGTTATTATGGGCCCAAATCAAATCAAATTTTGCATACTGATTGTACATGATGATACGCATGGAAAAACACTTCTAATTTTGTTCCCAAAGTAACAATGTCGTTTCCAGGCCCCTTGCGCCAATTTTATGAAACAGCTTTATTCAAGGTATTGATAAGCCGGAATAAAATAATATCAGAAGTATGTGTATGATACCTATGCATGCCAAAAGTTTACTTGCATGATAATAATTCGAAAACGACATACACATAGCTAAATGCAACTAGTTATTCAAAATCAGTGTAAGAGGCCTGGGAACGACTGTGTTGCCTTGACAACGAAATTAGAAGTATTTTCCCATGCATCTCATCATGTACTATCTGTATGCAAAATTTCATTTGATTTGAGCCAATAATAACTCAGCTATGCTTTAAGGCCATGTTACACGGTGCAATTTTTCCAACCTCGTACCCAGGCTCTTACCTTCGCACGCCCCAACGTCCCAAGCTGCGGAAAGACCCTGGTGCCGGCTGGTCACGTGGCTCCCAGGATATTAAATTACCAAGGGAGGGATGGACAAATCTAAATTACAATGCTTCCACTTTCCAATAGTAAAATTCGTTGGCAAGGAGCGGACGTATTGGTTTGAATTGCAAAAAGTGTAATTTGAGAGCACTTTGTATCGCAATTTGTTATTGTATAATTTGTATTGAATACTTCGTGTCAAGTTGACAATTATGCGCGCGTTTGTGTTCGTTTTGTCATTCACATGCAGCCAGGCCATAGAAGCAAAGTTGATAATTTCAACGGAGACTCGAACGGAGATGCTCGAGTTTCATTGCATTTCTTGCTTGTTTGGAATTCGTTGTTCTAAATAGTGCATTTCATAACAACATACTGTACTGAAGACGAACCACAGTATAGGAAAAGTACAGTAGAGCCACTCAGCGTAAAAAAGTGTCTACATTGTTTACTGGCTGCCAACCTAATTTACATATTGGCAGCCAGTAAACGGCAGCAGTCCACTATAAAATTGTACTACAGACACCTGGAACCTAGCTTAAATAATTGCCACTTTTCTCTCCCCTAAGTGGCCCTACTGGTTGTCTCCCTATACTGTGGACGAACCAACTAAGCAAGTTCTTTGTTTAGAAAGTATTTATTTATTTATTTATTCAATTTCGCCAGGTTTTACACGATTGATAACATTGTGTTCAAACTTCGACAAGAGTTGCAATTTAAACATACAGATCTCCGTGTTCTTGGGTCCTGCATCAAAACAACTGTACAGGGCTTTCAAATAATACTGTCGTAAAGCACACGAGCAAATTTTATTTTGACAAATTTCATTTGATCAAATGCAAATGATCAAAAGCTAGCATGCTGGCTTGCTAGCTTTTGTTCAAATGCATTTGTCACAATAAATTTGTCACAAATTTATCATCTACACGAGCAGAATATCTTTGACATTCAATTTGCCTGTGTAAACGGGCCTTAACAAACTCTTAAATGTACTTAAACATATATTATTTATTCGACAAAAGATGTTATTTATATAATTTGTATCCTGCCAACGCAACGCTTTATATGGAAAGTCTCTGATTTTCATCTGACCCATTGTTGTTGTTTGCAAGGGATCATATTTAATAAACAAGTCGATTTTCTTTCTCCATGGAAATCATTTGAGATATCTACTCAGGACGGTTCGTGTATTCCGTGTACTCCCTTGAATTCACTGATACAAGATCAAATATCTCGACTGAAATCAAGTG